GATGCCTTGTGTGTACTTTGTTTTTACCAGACATTATCAGCTTACTCGGCTCATTACAAAGACTTTGTAAGCTTACTTGGCTCATTAGAGGCAGGGCATTATCTTTTCACAGCAGTGCACCCTTTATGGACCGTCGATTCTCAACTAAAATAATCTCGTTTTATTCATCAAGCGATGACATGGAACAATCTTGGCTCTTGAAAGCCCTTCTTTATTACTGCAAATAACCGCCACATAGGCCTTCAAGTTCTACTGCCAGTGACTGTAAAAAAAAGAACTAAAGAACATAAGACAAACTAAAATTAAGTCACAGGTAATGCATATTTTTATTTTACAACACACTAAATCAGAAGGACTGAAAGACAGGTCATCAAGGCTACTTTTCACAGAGTTGCTTCGCTGTGCTCAGACCGCTTGTGAAGGCCTGAGTCACAATTCAAAGAGGATTATACTAATCCTGTTACACTATAATTCGTGCCGTCTCAAGTGATCGCGACGTAGCACAGCGAAGATCAACTGTATGAAGCAGCTATTAACCTGCCTATGTAGTCCTTTACAAGCTCCACCTCCAGGCCAGCACTAGCTTTTGCGTTTGATAACAAACAGCTTGCACAGCGAAATGATAGCAGACGGCGACAGGTGTGTTCAAAGAAGGAGCTTCTGCTTCTACTGCACTCACTGGCGAGATACATGAAAACATCAAGCCACGTATACCAGAAGCTGAATCTCAACCATCGTACAGTGAATGACTACCTTGCACAAAAGTCAACGGCGATACATAAAAATATTAAGGCGCGGATATAAGTTGAATACCAGCTATGATAAAGTGAATGACTAGCTTCCACAAAAGGCAACCAGTGAGATACATAAAACTATTACGGCACAGACTCTAAAAGTTGAGATTCAAATATCAGAAGGTAAACGACTAGGTTGCACGAAAATCAACGGACATATACAAAAGATTTCAAGAATAAAGGCTTGCGGGGTCTTATCAGCCCCCCTCTCGTCGACAACCAAACGCCGGCGCCTGAGGACTCGTTTTCGGATGCCGCCGTGGCGAGGGCAGCGCCTTTGAAGCTTGGTGCCCGAGAACCTCCTGCCTCGGGACCCATCTTGAAGACGTTGGCGGCGTTGGCGGTGGACATCCAGGGCCCCCCTCCCGGACAGCGTCGGCGCCCGAGGCCCTGCACGTGCTACGGCAGAGCCAGACGGGGAGCTCCAGCGAGAGACCGCCCAAGATGGGAAAGAAGAAGCTCCGGCCGGTCTGGTACGCAGTGACGGCGGGAACAGCGGGAAAAGCTCGGACTACGGAAAAGAGGAAAAGGACTCTTGCTCGGGAAACGGGCCACGACGGACGTTCGCGCTGGTGGCGACCGCGCCGCCGGCTCGGGCGACGGCCCGGTGACATGGTCCGGACTTAGACCCCGGCTTTGACCCTCGACGGCGACGTCCACAGGATGTGGTGTAGACTAGCACCGTACGGACGATCAGCATGCAGCATACGGTGGCGGCGTACCCCCTCCAGGCTTCCTCGATCACCTGTCCTGATCCCGAAACCCACCAGCAGAATGTGAGTGGAATAAACACCTTCTGCCGAGGGCTATGCGTGTGCTGTGTCACGTTCATCCGGAGACAGGGGCCTGGGGAATCGGACGAGAACCCTACAGGCTGAATTTTGTGTCACAAAGTGAATGACTCAGTGGCGCACCCACGGAGGGAAGGGGGGGGGGGGGGTTTGGAGGATCATAACCCCCCCCCCCCCCCCCAAAGCTCCGCGATAAAACTTTTTTTTGCGTATTTTGACGATTTTTAAAATGTAATCTCTGCAACGAGCCCCTTTAATGGTAAATAAATTAATCGCCCCCTCCGCTCCTCCTTCTCCCCCCTCGCCGCTGCACTGGTGATGTGCACGGCACGAGCGAGTCATTTCCGTAATATACAATCTTACATTGACCGATGACACACTATTACCAAAATTATATATGTGTCGAAAAGTGCTCATCTGATGCACCAATCTAGGTGTCACGACATGTTGCCCCTCGATACACTGTCCGAGCAAAATGCAAAAAACGCCGATGATCGTATTCACGCTAACACTGTAGCGGTGTGTACAGTCTCCCTCAGTGGCGCACCCACGGGAGGGTGGTGGTGGGGCGGGGGGGGGGGGGGGGAGGTTGAAGGTCCTACCCTCTCCCGAGTTCTGTAGCGGTCAATCGGGAACCATTCACCCCCGTTGCATTGACGATGAGGCAAACAGCGTGACAGAGTTAGTACGAGGAGTCCGTTCCTGATTTTTTGAATCGTAAGTACATTGACAAATTACACTATTTTGCAATTACTTATACGGTAAAACGAGCTCCTCTCAGGCCCCAACCTCGCTGTTAAAATTTTCCTCCCTCGACACGCTGTTTGAGCAAAATGAAATACCGCCGGTGTCACACAGTGTGTACACCCATGAGCGATATGAAGGTGAATAGCCCTCTTCTTGTATTTGACGCTCCTGCAAGTTTTAAAACAAGCTCTGTTCCAGAAGAGGGCTAGGACGCAAAGTTTAGACCCCAAGCCATGAACCATTTGAGACGTTGAGAATTAATATAGCTTTCGGGAGCCGTAAAACAGGCAAGAAACCAGGTAAGGTTTTCACCTTCATATTGCCGGCGGGTGTACATTCGTATATTTTATTTTATTTGAATTTTTTTATCTACTGTATGAGATATAAAACATTATTAATTCTATGTTCAGACCTGTTTCTTGTCTGAAGAAATAAACTCCCCCAAAAGACGAAGCGGGACGTTGGGCTCCACCAGTCTGTCTATGCTGGAAAAAGCGATGAAGAAACTTCATCGTGACGTCGCCGGTGGGAGGAGCCCCAACTTCATCGCTGGCAAACTCCACTGGAGAGCCAACTTTACCGTGACGTCGGTCAAAAGAAACGATTAAGTTGAAACTTCGTCGGGAATTTTCCCCAAAACTGTCCCCACAGGGAATTGTGAAACACCGAGTGAAGGGATTTGTAAAAATATTACTTTTAGGTTTGAAAAACGTAGAACCTGTTTTATTTCAAATAGAATAACAGAAGCTGAATTCTATTTGCACCGATTATGCATTTTGCTTGAGTGACAATAATAATTATTCGCACGAACTGTAGCCGTTCGTTAATTGGGGTCTTGGCAACGTTGGAAAATCCGGATTTGGGATTTGAGTTTGTTGTTGCTTTGATTGTTGCCTTGAGACGACCTCGTGGTTTTCGAGTTTGACGTTAGACTAGACTTTGACCAGCGCTTCTGCTTCGACTCGGCAAAGGATGGCCAGCGCCGACAACGCCGCCAAGAGGAGGAGGCTCGGGGCCCGTGTGTCCCCGGGGAAGTTCGCTCTACTCCTAGACTATCTGTTGGCGAACCCTGTCCTTGTTATGGCTGCGTCCCACTAGAACGACAGACAACGACAAACGACAGCGACACACGACACCGAGCGACAAAAGACATCGACAGACAGCCTGTTTGTCGTAGTCCGCCGGAGTCCGCCGTCCCACCTGGCGGACACGACGAAGAACACGGGGACAAGGAAATTTGTTTCCTAGTGGGACTGGAGTTGTCAACAAAACACTTCAAAATACACAGACAAACGGAGTCGGACGACACGGTTTTCGTGTTTCGTTCTTTGGGCGAAAACGCTTCGACAAACATGGTTGAAGTGGAGACGGCTATTTTTCTCTTCGAATAATTTATTAAATAATCGATCACGGGCGCGACGGAATGACCATCGACACTGATACCACTGATCAGTGGGATTTCAAGTTTTCAACGGCCAGAATCGTTTTTTGTGCGAAAAGCCTACTCGCACACCGCACGAACGATGGCCGCGAATGGTGTCGAATTCGATTCTGAATTAGAAGGTATCTTAATACAAATGATCGAGGATCGCCGGTTCCTGTGGGATATCCGACATCCAGACTACCATAAAAAAAACTTAAAGGAGCGGGCCTTCGCCGACATCACGGGCGCCTTGGGGTTCGGCGACAGGAGTGAGTACTCGTTTATCTTTTTGCTCCCGATGTCAGAAATCATCAAAAAGATCCAGAGCCGCAATAGACCTATTGCTAAATTACCCAAGCATCGAGCAGAACGCAGGGATTGGTGTTCCACGCGCCGCATGTGCTGGACTCGGCGGTAGTAACTTTTCTAATGCAAATGCCAAAAACAAATTGCATCTTGCTCGCGCGTTCGTCAACTCTTTATTTTGGTTATTACTTCAAATGCTTTATACGGGGAAGGCGTGCGCGTGGAACACTACTTTCTGTATTCTCCTTGATGCTTGGGTAATTTAGCAATAGATCTATCCTTACCGCACGACGGCCGCATTTTTGGTGCTCGCGGAAGCAGTGGCGAAGGCAGGGAGATGGTTTAGGGAATCCCCCCCCCCCCCCCTTCTTTTTCTGAAAATATTTCTTTAAAATCTTGTTTAGTAAAGGAACACAAATATTGGATGACTACCGAATTGCTCTACCTAGCCGGGGGGTTGGGGACGGCCGTGTTCGTACCGGTGAATTGTACAGTACATCGACTACTACAAGCAAAGATGAGACAAAGCCCCCCCCCCCACCTCCCTCCCTCCCTTCCCCCCCCACCTCCCTCCCTCCCTTCCCTTCCTTCCCCCCCCCCCCCCCCGCCCCCTTAGTCATAACAATCCCAACCCGTCCCCGAAAATAATTCTCGACTACGTTACCGCACAGAAGTAAACATCTCTTTAGATCAGCAGACACACCAATTTTATTCAAGAATGACTGAGCGAACACATTAGCATAAATTTCGGAGATTTGACATCAACACACTTTGGAGCATTCAACACCTCAAAATTGTGCTGCTGTTTGTGAAGGTGTCATAATTTTGTTTCAATACATTGCAGTTGACAAAGTAAAGAACAAGTGGACGAACCTCCGGTCCCAGTACCAGAGAGAGAACCGGAAGGTAAAAGACACGCAACGCTCTGGTGTTGGGGCCGACGATGTCCATGTCCCAAAATGGGTGCACTTCAAGAAAATGAAGTTTTTGTCCGGTGGTGCACCGGAAGCTCCAAGTGAGTCGACTGCCGAGGCGCCTGAAGCAGTACATGCTTCCCAAGAGGATATGGTGAGTGCCTTAACCGAGGGGACTTTCCCCCCTTGACCGAGAAAAGTTGGTGCTTGCAGCATATATTTCGGGGGCCCAGGATCGCTAAAAAATCGAGTTCATGACCAAACTGTATGACGCCTACGGTGCCCAAATATTTAGCTCCACGACGGAGAGGAGTACTCATTACATATGGCCATATATTTGCCAAAAGGTGCTGCAGATCTGCATGCTATAGCCCTCACACAAAAATTGAGAAAATTATATTTAAAAAAGCACTTAAAAGATTATTATAATACCCATCACTGTTGATGTCAGCACCTCCAAATATGGGAGGATTGCAGCAGTGTTCCATAACAACTGCAGAGATATCTTGTCTCACTGAGTGTATGAGCCCCTCCCTATGCCTTAGGTTTTACTTCGGCAATTAGTACCTTGTGGAATCATGATGGCCTTGTTAACTACACATGTTAAACTGTTTTTGTGAAAAACTGCATGTTACATACACTAAAAGTCCAATATTTTGTTTAACACTTGTGTGAAAATCTGCACATAACATCCACTGAAAGTTCTCTTTAGTTCAACACTTGCAAATGAAAGAAAAGGATAAGATGCAACACAAATTGTCTGCAGGATTCCTGCCACGTGCCCGATGACTACAGGTCCGAAGACGAAAGTCCACCACCTGAGGCACCGGCCAAAAGGAGCCGCCGTCACAGCACGGAGGAACTGGCGACAAACAAGGCGGCACTGCTGCAGGCAGCTGTAAACAGCCTCAAGTCTGCCAGGGAGGTGGAGCCTGATGAGTGTCGGGGCTTTGGCCTGATGATGGAGGTGCTTGCTCGGACGATACCAAGGGGTACCAGCAGGCAGCTGGGCATGCTTGCCGCGCATAAGGCCCTCGTGGAAGCAGCCATATCTTCACAGGTCGTTGTGGTGGCTGCGCCAGAATAAAGGAAGTCTCCATATGAGCTCTCTTCATGTTTACTTGTTGAGTAGTACAAGACACCCGTGATTTCCCTACCGACCCCCTAGGGGGGTGGGGGGGGGGGGGGGTGTACACCCCCCTTATGGCCAATTCGTCTGGACCCGTATCGCGCGATGCAGTGCGGTTCGTCATACACGGAGGGCTATAGGCGAGAGGGAAGCGTCCTTCTCTCCCCGCCAGCCTTTCGTGTATAAAGTGGAAAGAGTTTAGTGCACTGGACGGGTGCGGTGCGGAATCCCGGACAGAAGCTCACCCATTTTTTAAAAGACCCGGACAAAAGCTCACCAGGAAAAAATTTCGTGTTGGTTTTATAGAGAAACCAAGTTTAGAGAAAAAGGCGATAAACCTCCTTTTAGCGAATTCGGCCACCGCGAAGCGGCGTGTATGGATAAGTCAGGTGATTTAACATTTTTGTAATGAGCCGCCGCAGACTGCCGCCGGCGAAGCGGCAGAAGCACAGCAGGGGGTTTGGATTAATACACCAGTAATACACGCGCGAAGTAGAAAAGCCTTTTTTAAGTAGCGTCCCCATTTCGATAAACGGCATATCTCTAAACTGAGGCTCTGCTTTCTCTAAACCGTGCTTCAATAAAACGTGCCCGTTCTCTAAAACATGTTTCGACGGAATGGCATTCGATCAACCGTAGTAAACCCTTGCGTGGGATGGGGCACAAGTTCACCTAAATATGGTGCAATGTCCATTGCGTCCACATTTTATTTCAGTCCGTGTTTTGCCCGGGTAGCGAAAAAAAAAGAGGTGAGCTTTTGTCCGGGTCTGTGAAAAAAACGGGTGAGCTTTTGTCCGGTGAGCTTCTGTCCGGTGAGCTTTTGTCAGGTGAGCTTTTGTCCGGTTACCACGGTGCGGGCCCAGACGAATTGGATATTAGTTTGTCTGATGGCACCCATGAAAACAGAAAAATAATTGCCTCCGTGTGCTGAACTCCCTCCTCCCCCCCTTTCCCTCCCTCTCTCTCCCCCCAGACACACACCCTAATTTTAATTCCTGGGGAAACCACTGCCAGACACTTTCTCGTAAGTTACATTCAGTGCAGGGCAAAGGTACAGATCAGTGGATGTAGATTTCCAGCAGAACATCACCTATTTATTAATCTACACCACAACATACTTATCCAAAATTTGTTTGGATAAGTATGGATAAAAACAAAGAACAGATCTCAGCTCAGAATCCATAACCACCCAAGCTCTGTTAATTTACTGTTACTGTATTCCATTAGCTATCAAAAAAAATGCTCGGTATTACTTGTAATATGTGTCAGATTCCTATACATTGGAAAATAAGGAAATCTTATGGCATTAGAGAAATGTGGGGGCCATCCTTTTCGTGGATTGTGAAGTAGCAAAGCTTGAAAGAGACTGTCTTAACAAATGACACATACCATTACTTCAGTAACTTCCACTGCCAAGAGACTTGGCCTTCATCCCAGAAGTACTCCTTGAAGACCGTCCGAACGGCTTTGGCGTCGGTTGATGGCTTGCCGCCAATGCGTTGCACAGGGAAGACTACCTTGTCGTTCACGTCTTTCCTCCATGTGCCACCGCGTACTGTTCCTGAAGTAGAGCAAGAATAAAAAGCATTTTGTAAAATGGAATAGGCATATGCTAACAGTATATGAAATTAAATCCTCATTGGGCGCGCTAAGTTTGCACTCGTTTACTCCTACTCCGACACTCCAATTTTCAAACTCCAAACGCAGCAGCTAAATGGAGCATAGATACGGGAGTGCAACACACCGAAACTATAGACGAGCCGCATGAGCCACTTCCAAAAGCACGGTTCTGATGAACCCATCATCTCATGGATGCGAGTGGCAGAAGCCAAAATTATTTTGAACATAAATTACTGAAGGCCTCTGTAACGTAGAAGTTAAAAAAAAAAGGACTGACGTTAGGAAGTTTATATATGATTGTTTTAATATTTGTGAAAAGTCTGAAGACTTCTTTCGAGCATGTATGCGGAAAGTTCCTCGACTGAGCTATTCATTGACCATGCATATTGTTCAGATTTAAATTAAAGAACATTCCTGAACCCGCTTGTCGACGCAAAAACTGTCAAACTTGTCAGATGTCCCGTGGTTCCATCTTGCTACACAAGACTGAATCCATCGATCTACTATGTCGATACCGGCACACAGCCGTTCAATAGATGCCATGCCAATTCGTTTTCAGGCGAGATGTGCGAACAAACCTTTTCCGCAACGTTAACTGGTTCCGGCTCTTTAATTGAAGTATCTTTATTCGCTGGGCTAAGCATTCTAAAAAGGGCCACGGTTCGAATGTCTTTTTCTCTCCACAACTTTTCTGTCGTTGTTCTATTGGCAAGCTACCGTTTGATAGATGTATTCGTTTTCAGGCGAGGTGCACAAACAAACCTTTTCTGGAACGCTAGTTGCTGTCTTGGCTTTCAAATCAAATTGTTTTTACCTGCTGGATTAAGCGCTATTCAAATAAAAAGGGCCAGCAGTTCGGGGGGCACCCTACGTCTCGGCGTTTCGGTCAGTGCAGCCATTTTATTTGTGGATGTGACATCATGGAGCGTGAAGAAGTCACTCACACTTTGAGAAATGCTCGGTGCATAAAGAGTGCACTCGAGTGTCAGTCTCCGACGGCGCTCCTTTCCGTTTACTGAACGGAGTGCCAAACTCTCAAGCTCCAGAGCACGGACCTCACATGTCCATTATCAACTGCAAAAAGAACTATCAAACTCTAAAGGGGCTATGTTATTTGAGGTGTGTCCCCTTTTTCTGTCTTTTTCGCTCCATTTCTTTTCCCACCTCAATGTCATGTTAGCCATCATATTAAACTTACACCAGGTTGCCTGTACTCTGATTATTTTCTCATTTATCTTATGCTACATTTCTACAAGCTAGAACTGCTGCTAGGGAAAGGGGCACAAAATATAGGAAGGCGAGACGTAAGTGGCACAAGGGTGACATAGCATTGAATGGGACGACTCAAGCGGACAACTATTGCAAGGCAACAGGAGGATCACAATAGCAGGAATGGCTTGCTTTCGTTGCGGTAGCTCCAGAAGGGGTGTTTGGCTATGTAGTATTGTGATCAATGTGAAAGGTAATACGACCAAGCTTCTTGCAAGGACTACAGCTGCCGATTATGTACCAGTGGCGAGATGTGCGTCCCAGTAGCGTTACATATGTGTACTTGGGTCGCTCTTCTGTTAGTTTTCTTGTGCACAGTCTGTAAAAATCAAACCCAAAACCGTTTAAGCGAACCTTTAAAGGGAAACTGCACTAAATTCTTTTGATTTCCGTGTTACGACTATTTTTTACTAAGTCAGCAACCCTGAGTTACGAAATATAATTTGCTTTCGGTAGTGTTTATAGTTTTGCATATATCTAGTTTCAAATTTTTGTTTTTGCGCTTGTGGCGAAACAAATATCGGCTCCTCCACTGCAGCAACATCAGTGGCAGAAACTTTCGTACCCCTGTAGCAACTGGGCTCTGTACGAGTGCCGGCACTCTCTGCGTCTGCCTAGGAAACTGCCGCACTGCTGAGCTACTGTTCGAATTGGTGATATCCTGCCGATTCCTTTGCAATTAGGGTAAACATTTAAAGGGATACTTCAACGAAATTTGAAATATTCCCGTCGTGTTCAAAAATAGGTTGAATATGATCCACAATATCCGTAAATGACAATCGCACGTTTGTATTTTGAGCCTGGTGGCTGTATTTTTCGTTATAAACGGCCCCCTCTGGCAAGCGCTCGGAGAAGGCCCAGCGGAGACCACGTGAGATCCAACGCAATCGTGACGTAGGTCGTCTCAAGACGAGCAAAGCTACGACGAGGCTGACGTCGAGAGGATGGCCAAGTCGTTCCAGCCACCGAAGCGGCTGCTTTTGTACAAATTTTGAGTGACGGGTTAATCTTCTATAATCTTGTAGGGGGACAATAGCGACTTCTGCGACACACAAAAGGCATTCTCCTGAAGAGGGGAGTTCCTCCTGCCCCTCTTCTCTCGTCGTGGCCGGAGACGAGACAACCTCCGTCACTAGCTGCCAAGGTTGCTAGACGGGCATTACAAGCGAGGCGTTAGCGACATCCACCAGGTGCTCTTTACTAATCGTTTAATTCGTTTTAAAATTCCTTTTCGTGACTTTTAACAAGATATTGGTACGTTCGATTTGATGGTGCTTTTTTGAACACATATAGACCAAAAAATGAGCGCCGAAATTTTGCTGTAGTATCCCTTTAAAGGATAATCATATAAAATGTAAAGCCTACGGACAGTTACCCGAGAAACTGAACTGAAAGGTGAATGATGCAAATTGTGGTTCACAGTTGGTTATTTATGTTTTAAGAAAAGGCCTATAAAAGAGGATTGTGATCGTCGACCCAGAAACAAGCTCTACAATGCTGTGTAAGGACAGGAGGCAACAGTTTGGTGAAACCTGTATATGCTGCGACAGCCAGCAAAGGACGAAACTGAAGTGCTTGTCACTGTTGCCTGACAAAGGCTGACCTGCTTATGTCGGGCAAGACTGGAAGGCACATGCTTAAATGTGCCTTCTAGTCTTTAGCAGTTCCACTTGGTGTTGCCTGGTTTAGTTTCGTTTTCAAAAATATGTGCCCACCCATGCCCACCCACCTCAGAAAACACAGTAATTGCTGTTATAACAAATCAAATACATCAATTACCTGAAAAACCAATGGTGGGCGCAGGAGTTCATTTGAATTGCACATCACCATTCTTATGCCCAACGTTAGCACTAGGACAGAGTGTCTGGATAGCACCAACGTCAAATAGCCCATTTTGCATTTACCTGTGAGGACGTCCTCAACGTCGAGACTTTCTGGAGGCGTGTACCTCCCTCTTGAACTGTTCTTTGTCCGGAGGAAGTTGTACAATGCAATTGTTGCCTTCACAACTTTGACAGCCCTGTGAGGCTTTTGCCGAAGAGGGTGCCCGTAGACTTGGAACCGGTTGCGGAGGATTCCGAAGCTGTTTTCCACAATGCGACGTCCCCGGGAGAGTCTG